TCAGGCCCTTGTGCTTGCCAGGCAAGCACTTCTACTGAGCTAACTCCCCAGCCCCTCTTAGTCACTTTCAAACTTAAAACAACATGGGGTTGAGAAATATGGAACTAAATATCAGTCTTCTTCCTCGTATGTGACTCTAGGTAATGTTTCCCTTTCTGTACAGCTGATTGTCTTCTCCTACATGAAATCACAGGTATTTGTGTTCCCCAGTCTCAGGCTATGCATGCATATTCCTGGATTTTTAAGCATGTGTACAACAGTAATTCTATTTATTTGTATATCAATATGCACATGCGGTGTGCATATATATTTTCATGCATACACAAAGGTAAGACAAAGATACCAAACCCATTTTGTTAGTTTTCTGCAAAAGAAACAAAGCCAGACCTAAAAAAAAAAAAAAAAAAAGCCAAACCTCAGAGGAAGGCAGGTATGTGTAGCCATTTTATTGACAGATGTTTCAGCCGTGCCCAAGCATCTAGTACACAGTGGAGGGAGCCTTGCTTGGCTTCTCTGTTTCAGGACTTCTCCAAGCTGAATGCATCAGGAGAGGAAGAAAATGTAGCCGAGGTGGTCAGTTATGTCAGCAGACAGGTAGAAAGCAGATGAGCAGATGTGGAGATTACAATCCTTGGGATTTCTTTAGCTTGCGAATAGCAGCATTAGTGTCCCCTTCTGTAGCAATGAGTGCCTGGAGATTGGCATGATAATTCCCAAACCCCATAGCCTGGAGAAATTTCATCTGCCGCCTGAAACGAATCTCAGGAGTTTGTGGAGGTTGGGAAGGTTTTCCAGCTAGGGACTGTAGCCTGTGCAGGACTTCTCCCGATTTGTGGCAGCACTCAGGCCTCTTGGGCTCAGCCATGTCTGGGGTATTCCAGGTCGTGGGCACTGTATCAGGGTAGCTGCAGCTGAAGCCAGGAAGCCAACCTAAGTCTGATAGGTAAGGTGCAAAACAAGGCAGAAGAACAGGAGCCTCAGTGGCCAACAGTTGGAGGCCCTGCTCAATCTGTAACATTGCTTGTAATACTTTAGGATTGGCTAGGGCTAAAAGCAGATCCAAAAGTTTTGACTGCTGCAGGAATGTGGGCAGCTGCTGCCCCCACTGTTCACTCAGCTGGGCCATGCTCATGGACAACATGATCTGAGATGCCAGGTGAGGGTGATTCCTAAGCAACTGTGTCATGCCTCCTGTGATCTGGGAGCTGGCCTGCGCATTGGACAGCTGGAGATCTTCCTCTGACCTCTGGTCTGAACTACACACCGAGAGGTTGCCATCTTCATTTGCTTCCTGGAGCTGCCGCATGGCTTCTATGCTTAGTAAGGCTGGTATCCCAGGTGGCTGCTGAATGGCACAGACATGGCTTTGGCCTTTGTTGGAGATGGTAGCAGAGTTGGTTCTGGAAGTATAGTTGGGGGTGGTGTTGGATGAGATGATTGAGGATAAAGCTGGAGAATTAGTACAAATGACTTGGTTTATAGGGAGATGTGAGTGCTGGCCACACTGGTCCTGGGATGATGGTGGTGGTGGAGGTGAAGGTTGGACTCGTCCCGTCACTTGTCCTGTCGGAAGACCAGTAAAATGGTTGCCTCCAAAAGGATCTTGCATACTGCTGAACATTCGGTCACTGAAATCGGCATAGTTCTCACCTTGGACATTATTCCCACCTGGGATTGTCTCTAAGCCCAGGTAAGGCTGAAGATTTAACAAATGCTCTGCGCTATGAGCAGGTGGCTGCATCTGCATTATCTCCTGAATTACAGCAAGGTTCCTGATCAGCTCCAAAGTCTGCCTCAGGCTCTCAGAATTGTCACAGAGGTGGGCAGCTTCAGGGTTCTGCTGTATTAATTCCTGTTTATCTAGATGCTCCGAGATAAACTGCTGTACGAACTCCACACTGGACAGAAGCTGCTGGACATGAAGATTCTGCAGCATCTGTCCTGCACACTGTGGGCTGTCCACTTCCAGATGCTGGTTTTGTACCTTTGGTGCATCAGACTCGATAGAGAGAGATTTCACTGGGGCTTGACTCATGCCAGCAGGCTGGCAAACTCCACTGCTGTTTCCTTTGATGTTGTGGTACTGGTGGCAGTGGTAATCAGTTGGCAGGTTCTGGGAGGAGTGGGCCAGGGATCTGGAGCTGTTCTTGGATTTGATGACCAGGTAGATGGTGTGGCCATCTGTAACACCCCACTGACTCAACGTGTCCTGGTCTTTGAGAAGGCGGCCCATGAAGACCAGCACTAGTTGATCCATTTGGCCTTTGAAGTGAGCCAAAAGCTTCTCCTTGAACTGCCTCACAGTGATGTCCTCAGCTACAGTAAATTCTTTCTGTTTGGTTGGTGTCTTCACTGTCACTCGAGTGAAACGTGAGGAGATGCTCCTGCCTGTAGGAAGACATGAAGGACGCCCACTCTGGGGTGTCCTGGGTGCTCGAGAGGTGACATGAGGCATGGACTGTAGTGGATGGGCAGATGGAGGGCAGGTATCAGTGGGGGCAGCTGGGTGAGGGCAGGCAAATACTTCCGCTGGGTTTCGCTGCAGGTGTTGTATTCTCCAACCTAAAAACAGCTGGGTCCTGTAATCTGTAATGTTTCACCCTCACCCCAGCTCTCCAGATGTGGCCCAACCGAGGTCTGATGTGGCTACTGATTCATACTTGGTGCACAGTGGGCTAAGTGGTGACAATGCCCCTCCCGGCTGCCCCTCCCCTGCCTCAGCTGCACAGGGCCTGAGCTGTTCAGAAGGGGGATATTGTGATGTCAACTTAAGCCTCAGAATATGTCAGGACTAGGTGGGAAAGGAAGGCAAATTTGGGGAGACCCTAGTCTCTATTATAAAAATGGAATTTTCCAGAAAAATAGAGGCTAAATTTCCTAGGGAAAAAAAAAAAGATAAAAATCAGATTTTCTTTTTTTAAATGTTGGATGAGTGTTTCTGTGTGTTGCTATGTGTAGGTCATGTAAATGGATGTTGGGCATGTTGACGAAATAGTCTACTGAATCTGCTAACAAAATCACATTCCTACGACTATGCATAGCACCTAAGCTCGTATTGGGGAAACTTATGGCAAACATGCTGCAGCGGACTGTTTGTATTACATAATGCACTAATAGATTCCCCCTCTGGCCTAACCCTGTGGAAAGGGATTAGTAATGTTTTTTTTTTTTTTTTTTTTTTTTTTTTTTTTTTTTTTTTTTTTTTTTTTTTTTTTTTTTTGGCAGAACCGGGGATTGAACTCAGGCCCTTACACTTGCCAGGGAAGTGCTTATTCCACTGAGCCATCTCCCCGGCCCCGGATTAGTAATTTTGATAGTGATCTGGGGAAAGCAGGCCTTAGAAAGAAAAATGGAAAAAGAATAAGGAAGCAGAGGTCCTGTTTTTCTGTAAGGTTGAGATTTTTGGACTCTACACTTAACTGGGAGTAACCTCAGATGATAGGTAAAATATCCTCTTCTATTTAAGGCAGCGGTGGGGCTAACCAAGAAGGCTCCCTCTGGGAACCATTCTAATTCCTGGCTAAAGGTGCATGGGCCACTATTTGTATTATATGTATTATATTCACACAGTTCACAATTTGTTTGGTTTTTTTCTACATGTCACCCTAATAGACCTTTTAAAATGATTTCTTTCAGTGTCCACACAGCCACAAATGAAAGCATTGTATCAAAACTAAAGGGAGAGAGACATCTGCAAATCAAGAGGTGGGAATCATGCCATTCCTTAGGGGACAGCTTCAGACAACTGAAAAGCCAGATATTCCGTTCAGTACTGTGCAAATTTGAAGGTGTTTTATTTGAGCAGAATTAATGATCAGTGCATATATTAAAATGTTTATGCTGATATTTGTGTGTAGGTAGAATTACTGTATATCCAAAATGTACAGGGCTGGTGAGATGGCTCAGTGGTCTAAAGCACCTATTTAGAACAAACTAAGCTAAGCAAAGCACAGGGACTGCAGTTCAATCCCCCAGCACCACATGCCAGCCAACCCCGCCCCCTGGTGGGCTGAGCTGGCTGCACACACACTAAATAAATAAATAAATTCTTTAAAAAAAATGTACAAACATATGTACAAAATGCATGTGCATGTGTCTTACTGAATGTATACTGAGACAGTATATGAATACTTTGTGCAAGTGGGAAGCCTTCAGGATCTATACATTCCATACTCCTCCCTGGCTAGGGGGAAGTGCCATACATACAGTCAATTAAGGGACATAAAAAGAGTTTGATGGGGCCTGGGAGATGGTTCAGTGGAATAAGCGCCTCCCTGGCAAGCACAAGGGCCTGAGTTCAATCCCTGGTTTTGCCAAAAAAAAAAAAGAGTTTGAGGGCTGCAGAGATAGCTCAGTGGTCTAAGTGTCTGCCTAGGCAAGTGCAAAGACCCGGGTTCTTTCCCCAGTACCACATGATCTGTCAGCCCCTCCCTAGGTGCTGGCTACCAAAACCAGGTATGGTGGTGCACTCCTGTAATCCCAGCACTGGGGAGGCTATAACAGGAGGATCACTACAAGTCTGAGCTACATAGTGAGACTCTGTACCAAACACATTCTTTAAAAAAAAAGTTTCAGTCCATATATTCTTGGTGTACTAAAGACTAGCAAAGAAACTACAGGCAGGCAGAAGACTTCCTGCAGCCATACTGGGGATTCTCTATTAAGAATGGGGGACCCCGCATCCCAATCCATATCAAATTCTTGAAATCCCTATGCTTACCAATACAGTTACCAGTTACAAGTTGCTCAATGCCAAGGGGCGGACTCCAAGCTAAGAATCTCTTTTAAAAAGTTCTCAAAAGTGAGACAGATGAAGGACCCCTTTAGAGTTCCAACAAGAGTGCAGGGTTGACAGGAAACTTCCATGTCACACTCCAGTGACCAGCTGCTATGAAACTCCTACACCAATCAGATCCTCTTGGTTTGACACTAGACTAGAACACATGACCTTAGAATTCCAAGGCCCAGATTCATAGTTTAAAACACAGAATAAGATGCCAGACTCCAGAAGAAGGGTACTACATGTTTCTAGATAATGTTTTTTTGTATACTGGAAATTGAAAAGATAATTTCACTTCCTGGGGATGGAACCCAGGATGTCATGTATATTAAGCTCATGTTCTAGACCCTCTATAGCTAATATTTTCTTTTGTTTCTCAAATAAATTCTCACAGACCATTCTTTTTTTATTTTATTTAATTAATTTTATTGAGAAACAAATAGTGAGACAGTTTCAAAACCGATTAGTAAGACAGTTTCAATAATTAATACATTGCATATTATTGTCTTCATAGTGGTTATTCATAGTACAAGATGCAGACAAACACTTTTTTTTTTTTTTTTTTTTTTTTTTTGTGGAACCGGGGCTTGAACTCAGGCTCTTGTGCTTGCCAGGCAAGTGCTTATTCTACTGAGCTATTTCCCTGGCCTTCACAGACCATTCTTAAAGGAAACTTTAATGTGTTGAGATATTGATTACATAAAGAACAAAGTATAAGTGGTGTTTCTCAATCTTTAGGGTTAAAACCTTTTGAGGGAGTGGTCCCTCTACAGGTGAGAAAGAGTACAAAGACACTTCTGCCAGTAGCCTGCCTCAGGTCTCAAGGGCTGGAAAGCTTACTGGATTTGACAGGTCGTTGGGCTAACGGTCTTTGTAGCCTGTGCTTCTGTGTTGGGAAGGTGAGGTCATAATTCACCAGGAAAGCATCATTGTACACATACAGTTTGTGGTCCATGGGGCAGTAATTGATACCATGCAGCGTCTCCAACGTCTTGTCCAACAGGATGCTAAGGTGGGTCTCCTTCCCAGTGGCAGTATCAAACGCATAGAAGATCTCCTCTTGGCGAGTGCTCAGTGAGCGTAAGGCATAGAGTACCCCACAGGCCATGAATGCCCCTGACAGGCCTGGCCTATACTGGCTGGTATACCAGGTTCTCTCTACTGCTAGGGTGCTGGTGTTGAGAAGACTCACAACCAGGTTCCCCTTGCTCCGCTCAGTGGCATAGAGCACCCACAGCCCCTTCTCATCACCTGCAAAATCTAAGTCCATCCAAGGCACACCCGCATAGGAGAAGCAGTTGTTGAAGGTGGCACCAGGTAATGGGCGCTGTAGCACCAGGGTGTTGGAAGAAAGGTCCACCTTGGCCATGTTGGCAGTGCGGTAGTAGTTAAAGTACATGAAATTCTGGTACACAGTATTGCCACTGCCATCACCATAGCCCATCTTGAACTCCTCATACTTCTGCAGCAGCATGAGATCATCGTAAGACTCATATAGTCGATAGTAGTCAAAGTACCTAGGTCAAGCCCCCACATCACAAGCATTAAGTGACAGCAGTAATCAAACTGATAATGTACTATAAAAATCAACAGCCTAGTGAGCCAATTAAAAACAAGGATAGGGGCCAGGGAGATGGCTCAGTAGGATAAGCACTTGACTGGCAAACGCAAGGATCTGAGTTCAATCCCCGGTTCTGCCAAAAATAAATAAAAATAAAAAATAAAAACAAGGATATACATGCCAAACAATTTTTAATCCACCACTTACCACACACTATGACAAAATAAGTACCTGTTTTAAAAATAGTGCACTATTTTGTACTCACTAACAATGAAGTTAAAAAAAAAAAAAAACAACCCACAGCTAAATCCATTAGATACTATATATACATCTTTTTCTGTATTTTTTAGGAAAGGGTCTACAGGGTGTTCAGGGTCTCACTACTAGATCGGACTCATAGTGACCCACCTGTTTACAGCCTCCCAAGATCTGGGATTACAGTCATGTGCCACCATGTCCAGTCTCAATTGCTGTCTCAGCGCAGCCTAGGGATGGGGCTGGCATGGCAGGCCTGGGGATTGAACCCCCAGCCCCTGTTTCTGCTTGCAGGTGCTTTAATCCGCTGAGCTATATGGCCAGGCTACATTATATCTTTTAACTATGATAAAAACATTATAAAATCCAGGCATAGTAGTAGTGCACACCTGTCATCCCATCACTTGGGAGGCTGAGAGCTTGGACTACATATCAAGACACTGTCTAAAAAAAAAAAAGCAACAAAAATCTACTGCGAAGTTCTATATTTGCAGATCAGAATGCTACACTAAATTTATTCAGAAAAATTAAATAATTTGCTAACCTGAAAAAAGAATAATAAACTACTACAATGTCAGGACTGGCTAAGATTATACAAAAATGTACAGTATACCCAAATGAGCAGTCAATAAATAGCAGCAATTGTGTTTTCTTGTTTATGAACATTCTCCTGAGCCTAGAATCTCCTGCCTCAATCCACCCTTGAAATATCACTTTATAGAAGACATAGAGCTGGAGCTTAAACCAAGGAGAGTGTGCCTATTTGACCATTTGGGGAAGTCTCTTAATTTTCCTGACTTATGAGAATTCTCATTTCTTAACACTGGCAAGAAGTGCTAACTCACCAACAGGAATTTTGAAAAGATTCATGAGCACAAACATATAACTTTCATGTGCAAAGTTTGTATACAAATTGAGGAGGGGAGGGGCTGGAGAGATGGCTCAGTGGTCTAAAGCACCTACTTGGAACAAGCTTGGCAAAAAGCACAGGGACCGCAGTTCAATCCTCCAGTACCACATGCCAGCCAGCCGCGCCCCCTGGTGGGCTGAGCTGGCCACACACATACATACATACACACACACACACACACACACACACACACACACTAAAATGTTAAAATAAAAAAAAAATAAAAATAAAAATAAAAAAAATTGAGGAGGGGGTGCCAGGAAGATGGCTCAGTAGAATAAGCGCTTCCCTGGCGAGCGCAAGGGCCTGAGTTCAATCCTTGGTTCCGAAAAAAAAAAAAAAAAAAAATTGAAAAGGACTGTCACTAATGCTCATCTTTCCCAGAGAGCTTCAACTGGGCCTCTTCAGTGGCTGGTTCAATCCACATTTATCCCTCTCTCAGTTGAATCTATATAATTCTATATATGGTTACTTTAAACGCTTCATGAATTATGTCCAACTCCTCAGCCAGACTGACATGTCATTTATTTATTGATTCATTTAGACTTCATCTAACAAATTATTCTCAGCCACTACTATGTTCTCCATATTCTTCTATAATTTCATACTGGAAATTGAAAAGATCATTTCACTTCCTGGGAAACCAGGACCTTGTTGATATTAAGCTCATGTTTAGACCTTCTATAGCTAATATTTTCTTTTGCTTCTCAAATTCTTACAGACCTTTTTTTTCCGGAACCAGGGATTGAATTCAGACCCTTGCGCTTGCCAGGGAAGTGCTTATTCTACTGAGCCATCTCCCTGGCCTTCACAGACCATTCTTAAAAGAAACTGTAGTGTGTTGATTGAGATATCAATTACATAAAAAAAAAAATAACTAGGTATAATCAGTGTTTCTCAATCATTAAGGTCAGAACCAATTTAATTAACCTCATTTTATAGATGCTAAATGAGGGTCACTTAGTATAAGAGACAGTGCTGAGAATTAAACTCAGGTCAGCTTCACTCCAAGTCTGAAGTTTGGTCTGCACCATACTCTAAACTTCTCCTAAGAAAGCTAGGTTTGTAGGGTAAAGGTGTAGAAGAGTTTTTCCTAGAGTTAAGAGCAAGCTAGAGATAAAGCCATCTTTAAATCATGGTAAAATTTTAAAACTTCAGTCAGTGCATTTTTAAAGGGACTTGAGGGACTCAGGGCCACACCTGCTCCATGAGAAAAGCATCAGGAGGTGAACTGTTAAGTCTAGAACAGATTTATATAGAATCATAGCTAAAATGGAGGAAGCTGGGCAAGAATTACAAAACATAAATAAATCAACCTTCTAGAGTAAGGGTAGGAGACATCTAGAATGCACTTGGCTGTAGAAAAACTGTCCTCGAAGACTTACCTGCCATCCTTACTCAGAGGGGCCACCCAGTGAAGGGAAGAGTTTGAGTTAGGGGCTGAATCCTGACCCCAGGCACCTGCCTTGTACGGTAAGCCCCTCCAGTTGAGCTGCACCACAAGAGGCCTGCTGACCCTCTGGAGGACTCCATGAACACAAGAACCTAGAGGGGAGAGCAGGCAAAGTGTGAGCTACAGGCAAACACACAAATCACAGAGGGCAGTGTAAAGTACTACGATGTACACTGTCCATGCGCCTAAGTGAACACACAACTCTATAAGCAGACTGGCTGATCAATCAAGATTGGTGTGTATGTCTGAACAGGAAGTGTCTGTGTGTGTGTGTGTGTGTGTGTGTGTGTGTGTGTCCAGTGTGAGAATCTGCCAATTCTGGTGTGCATTTCTCTGTGACACGTAAAGAAGTTGAAGATTTCTTTCCCGTCTTGGTCTTTATTGCCACCTCCCTCCCTCCACTATCACCAATCCTGCACTCTCCCTCCAGTCCCTGGAGAAACAAGATTTTGGGAAATACAGTTCTCTGTGAACTCACCAGCAGGCTGGTGTGCACCCGTGTATCTGGAGGTCTGTTGGTGCTCTTTTTCCCTCTCACACTCACTTAGTTGCTGCTCCAGACTGTCTACCTCATGTTGGAGAGCAACAAAGCTGCGCAGGTCAGCATTGCTCAGAAGCTTGAGGGCGAGGCTGACATTCATCGCCTAAGGAAACAAGATACTAAAGATGGAGCTCGCAGAACATCCCCAAGAAGTGAACTCAGGCTCTCCTATTTCTCAGTTCAGAGTTTTCTTCCCAAGAAAGAAGTGATTTTGAAACTGTCATATTGTGTGAGGTTAGGTAAGAAGGCCATGCCATGAAAGGAGGGTTTTTCCATCTGTCTACATACCAGGTCATTAAGCTGGTGGAGGAGACCTGCACTCTCCTTATTAACTCTGCCCTTGGCCATAAGCTGACCTGCCAGCTTCTTCATTCTTTCAAGCTCCAGGTGCAGCTGGTCAAACACTGAGTTTTCATAGGAGAGAACAGCCAGACTGGAATTCCTGGACTCTCGCATGCCGATCACATCCAGGGCCTGGGATTGTCTATGATCACTGGCATGCACAAGCTCACGGGCCTAAGCATGAAAGGCAGATAGACAGTTTGTTCAAATGGCAACCCTCTGTATTTTCCTGCCCATTGACATCCTCCCAGGGACATACAGCTTGCAAAATAATCTATTTTCTCAATGCAGTGTTTCTGTTAAGCCCTTGATATGGGTTTTGTGGTTATCCCTGTTCCACAGTGTAGGACCTCATCTCCTTTATGCTGCAGGAAGAAGAACCTTACACTCACACTGCCAATACCCCTGTTTTCTCTTCCTGATTAAAAACAACTCTCAGGACGGACTTAGTTGTGGGAGAATGGATGGACAGCCTCCAGTGTGGTCCACATTCCAGCCTCCAGTATGGCCACATCCCTTCTGGCTTTCCCAGAGCTAAGAAAAGAAACACCAAGCAACTGAGCATATCTAGCAGATGCGTAGCCAGTAATTAAGCAGCTAATGTAGGAAACAACTCTCTATAGCACTGCTACCACTAGCGATCCCCCAAGTTGTTCCTAATTTCCCCTTCATTCTGAGAATTCATTTCTAAGATAAGGCCTGCACTTCAAGCTTTTACTCCATTATCAGGACTTATCCCTTGCTGAGCACAGTACAGGCGATGCTGGGATCACTCCAATTCCCACACATGCAGCCCCAGCCCCAGCCCATAGCTCCAATACTCACCCTGGAGAGCTTCAGCTCATACTTGCTGAAGAGCTCCTGCATTGCACTTTGTAGTTCCTCTAGCCGCTGCAGAATGATGGAGCTTTTGGGCAGGTAGACCGTGCACTGGCAGGCGCCACTCTCATCCACCAAGTCTGACACACTGCTGAGCTGAAAAAGTATGGCAAGAGGCCCACTAAGTGTAACAGAGCACGTTGCCCCACAGTGCACTATTTGCAAACACTGGGTGGACTGGGTCTAACCCTGCTCTGGCTTGGGGGAGAAGAGTCCCCTAGATGGTGGCAGAGATCCTTCTGATTACCTGGACATCCTTCCACCAGAGGCTTCAGTTATCCTTCTTCTAATCTCCCATACCTGCAGTGTAGCTCTTTCTAATTCCTGTTTTGGGTCATGTCTACCCTACTTCTTGGACTGGCTAGGCCTGCCTCTGGTTCACATAAATGGAAGCCTATTTTCCCTTAAGACTCCATGGAGGGCTGGAGAGATGGCTCAGTGGTCTAAAGCACCTACTTAGAACAAGCTTGGCAAGGCATCAGGGACCGCGGTTCAATCCCCCAGCACCA